AGTGGGGAACGAGGGGGTGGTTTTAAAGAGTGGCTTGAAAGTGCCGACGTTTTCCCGAGCACTCTCATCATGTCGCCCTAGGCCTGACCAGGGTAATGGTTCTGCCTCCCGAAAGTGCATTCTTAGGACCCGGTTGGATTAGAAATCTTAGTGGAAGACGGCCAAGTGACCCGGATATCCGAATGGTACATGGGGAGGTGCAGGGCTCCAAACGTTGGGGTAATTGGCATCTAAATGAGCCGAGCAAGCATGACAAATGACCTGTTACCAAACTAGTGATTATTTTTCCGTGTTCCACGGGGAAACATCATTGTGGGGGGAGAAACATTACGCACACCGCCGAGCTGGGGTACGAGATACCGGTAATTGGCAGCCGATAACTGTACAACTGTACGTCTTTATTGAAAACCTCTCTTCAATCGACGATTGATTGATCCAGAATAGCGTCATGAAGCAGCAGAATCCGAGGAGTGGTTGATGGATCGAGAGCGCCATCCCCTCAGCTCGTCATAACCCAGACTTATAAAAACATTTGTTTAAGACCTTGTATAACTCTTAGATCCCATAAACCTGAACTGACGCTTTTAATAAGCAGACTTACGTTCAATCAACGCGAAGTTTACGCAAGCATGTGGGTCTTTTCGATTCATTTGGTTGAGATAATACATAACAGAATAGCTTGAGGAGTTGAAATGCTCTGCCTGATATTGAGAAAAGAGTACAACCTTCATAAGCTTTGTACATGGAGTGCGTCTCACCGGACTTCCGCTGTGGTAGAATATGGGTAGGTGACACACGTGCTATGCCCGCCCGATTCTTCCCATCAAATTGTTTCCTGTAATATCCTCAAATGGCCATCCTCAATTGACTGTCGCAGGGTACAAGGGGGTCCGCATGCTCCTGTACTTGAGAAATTGCTGTTGGGGCGTCCCTGGAGGAGGTCCTTCGTTGGAATGAAATGTTTTGGATCAGACGACCGCCTATATGAACACATGGTTCTTGTTGGCCCTGGTGTACATTCCGTCAGATCCTAGTCATCGCAACACGCACAAGCCTCTACATCACATACCTCTCATTATCACACCTCTTAAGAAATCCTTCGATTTATAGGTAGCTCAATGATCCTTTACATATAGGAGTGCTCTTATGCGCGATATCTTTGGCGGTTCCATAAGTTGACAAGTTCGTAAACCTCTCGTGGGTGAGCAAGTAGCAGCGAGATTTGTCGTAGATCTGAGATTACAGAAATTGATTCGAATGTACATATATCGTATCATATTGTGCGGGAAATACGTCGCCTTTTCCACCTCTTAGGAGAAGTCCGAGTTCGTCCTTAAAGTAAAAGGCCCGAATTTCGAGTAAGTCATGGAAGTATGATTGATATTTGTCCTAAAAGATGCTTTCTATAACGTCCTTGAGAGCTCCGATCAGACACCACATAGAATAGAACATTTGAGCAATACTCTACCAGTTGCACCAATTTTTACCAGCTGCATGACGTATCAATCCATCACCAAGGTCTCCAATGACTTTCCTTCCCTGGTGTGCTTGCGGCTACTGAAGAGATCGTTGGCCTGACTGGGCGGAGAGGACGAAACCAAAATACTCTTGGTAGGTGGAGACTTTCGCTTTGAGGCCTGCCAACACATGTCGTAATCTTTATACTGGAGTCCGCACTCATCTGATACAGTGGTATGTATACCTCCTGGCTATTCGTTCTCACCGTGTAAATGACGCGAAACCCTGTTCGCATGACGTTGTGGACTAGAAGCTGGAAGTCACGTTTCTGATCCAGCCTGGATTGAGGGCAAGTTCAACTGTGGTAGTACCTTTAACAAGATAATACAAATAAACAATTTCAGTGTCTTATATGGCTTCGTGAGCGACCACCATGAGTCGCCAGTTCGTACCTTGCGTCGACACTTTAACAATCTTATCATATCGGCTGAGAGTCTCGATCACGGGAACTATAAAAGATTGGGTATGGAAAGGTGATAAGCCTTTCAGGAGTGGCACGAATTCACCGATATTTTGTCGAGCGCATGAGAAGCGACGAATGCCGATGATACCCTTGGAACTCTCGCGCTAAAAGCATTCTCATCGAGGTATGTTGACCATGCATGCTAAGCCCCGTATGTTCGAGATACTTTGGCTCTACTGCGTCTCACATTTCCGAGACGAGGCTAACAGTAATCCATAGTGACTAGTTCATCAACTTACAATGACGGTCAATACCTGTAGCTCTGGGTTTGAGTGATCAACTCCTCAACGCAATGCCAGTTTATTTTCACGTATGGCTGGGTCTAAATATAAACAGTCGTCGACACGATGGGCACTGTCACATCTGGGGATCGAAACCAAGTTTCTTACTATCAGTTTCCTTAATTCCGGGTCTCTTTGATCTCCCGAGTTTCAAGGCCTGGAACTGTGTCAAGCGCTCGTCAATGAGTGTCATCAAAGTTTATTAACTCACGTGACCTGCTCCTTTTCCCATACCATTTCTTCTGCTCCAGACCATGCTTAGTCGACCTGTTCGACGAGCAATAATAATTATTCTATGCCTAACCACATTCTTGATTATCCGAGATATTAAAACTCACCATGGCGAACATGAGGAAGCCACTAACGCCGAGGACCAAACATTCACACCAGGGCGGCTACAAGGTCGGGGGTTCAAGTCTGGTGTTTGACAGTGTCTGAATCATTCTCATCAAGAATCCTTCAGTGTGGCTCCCAGTTCCACTAAATATCCCAAACACCGCCGACTACAGAACGGCTTGATAGAAACGGTATGCCACCGAGTGCACCCCGCGGCTCTCGAGTTATATGTACGCCCATACAAATTTAACACGATTCTTTCACCTAGAACATGGATGGAAAACACCCGTTATTGGATTTAATAGAGAAGGGGGAGCAGAAATGGACAAAAATGATCTCTCGGTTGGCCGGTTTTTCTTTACGTTTTCCCCATTATTGACTTGAAATCACGGAAAAAGACAGAGTAAATCATTATCAGAAGCCGTTAATGAATATGAACGACGCTACGGACGCCCTCCACCATTGGGCTTTGATAAATGGTCGGGCTTTGGCCGTTAACTTGGTTTATCTTAGCTTATCTACTAATATCAGGTGGAAATTCGTTAAAGAAAATGGTGTTATACTTGTAGACGAGGTAACTTTTATCACCCGTACCCAGAAGACTGAACATCTTACAATGATTGCACTAGTACGACCAAATTCAGCGTGACATCGAACCCTACTTTGCTCTGTCACCACGCACGTTTCAATCCAGAGTCCAGGATCTTGCCGCGAACCTTCCTTTCTCCTTTAGCCTCGTTGTCACCAACGGGTCTCTCTCCTTAGTAGGAGAGAGAGCAAATAGTATCAGAGCAAAGGATATTGCAGACCTCGTGGAGCCATTTGCACAATGGCTCCCTGATCTACAAATGCACGCGAGCGACCACGACAGAGGCAACATTGTACTTGGCCAAGATCAACTCGACAAAGCGTTGGAATTGGTCACTCAAGGGGAATGTTAGTACATTTCTAGATAAGATAAAGCAAGATTTGACGTTCTGACATACCCCGGAATAGATCTATCCACTGAGCAACTAAAGTACTATGAAGACCGTAATCGAAACTCTCAACCAAATCTCCGAAGTGCATGTCATCCCAACTCCAATGCTATCAAAGGGCCAAGTCTCGAGACGAACTCAAGTTAGGCTCTCTTTTCTCTAGTTTTGACCGGATATTAGTAGATAAGCTAAGATAAACCAAGTGCACGATCCAAGAGTCCAGCGAGAACAGAAGGAACGGGTATGGACTCTCCATGAGGGTGAATTCATTTCCAAGGGAAATATGCATCATCATAATCGATATCATTCACAGAATCACGTTCTATTTATGGACTTTTTTAATCAATTTATCGCTGGTGTTTCTAATTTACTTGCCGAGTTTTCACTGTGTGTCAACTCCATTTGCTATAGAATATACTCGATACCACGCAGATCACGTTTAAAAGTTGGGCACACGTCTCAGCTATGGGCACGACTATATTTGAGGAGATGTTTCTCAATGCATAGTTTATTATCGAAACCGAATATCGACCTACTAAGAAACTCAAAGCTTCTCTGATTAAAATAGATTAGATGGCGCTGTGGACTATTTTTGGTGTCATCTCTGGTACGATGCCGCTTCCCTGTCGGAGTTCGCAAGACGAGCATATTCAAGAAGCACCCGGAACATCTATAAAGATTTAATTGTCAATTGATAAAGTATAATACTCTTGAAAGACTCACATATGCCTGTGCATCTTCTCGTCTCCAATAATGCTTGATAAAATGGAGGGCATTCTTTGATATCTTCTCAGCTAGGTCGTCATGACCTGGAGTGCCATCTGGCCAACCCACAAAGAAAGCCATGGTATCAAATATATCAGTGTAGTCAACTTTTGTTGGCTAGATCGTGATGATTCGTGAGTCTTCTATCTCAAGAGAGTAGTCCTGCAAGGGAAGGCTTACAATGTAATGATAATATGGTATGAGCCAGTTGGTGTTCCATTCTGGGAAGACCGTACTCTTGAGCACGACACTACCCGATGAGAGTAGTCTCGCATATCTCTGCGACCAGCCGTTTCCATCCACATCAATTACGAACTTGGCGTCCTGGCCTCTTGACACGGGAACGACGTCAAGGAAACCGAGTTCACTCGCTACCGTTTCGCAAAACGGATAAGGCTCGTCACACTGTACCAAAGGGCCGACCAGTCCTACATCAAGATATTTCTTGACCAATTCGGATCTAGGATAGGAGTTCAATTTCAAAATATCGATTTGGTTTTCGGGATCGCCTGGATTTTTGAGAGGCCGGCCTATCCGCAACGGCCCACGCGGCGGGTCATCAGGTCCAGGCTCTCGTTTAGCCTCTTGCAAGAGTTCTACCGTCCCATTAGTATCTGTAGCAAAGACATGAAGTCTTATTCGATGAGCGGCGCGCCAATTCCATCCAGTATGAAAGTCCACCCCTGTACTCCTTGCTCTCCAAAAGAGTCGACTATCCGTTCTTTCGGACCATGGTGTTACTTTGGATGGGTTCCGGATGATATCATCAAAGCCAGGTAGTGCTGGCAAAAGGAAGGAATGATCCTGTTCCCATTTGCAATGGACCCACATCGGAACAAGCCGTGTTTCGTGAGCATGATCGAACGACGCTACGGACGCCCTCCACCATTGGGCTTTGATAAATGGTCGGGCTTTGGCCGTTAACTTGGTTTATCTTA